CCCCAAAACCCCAAAACCCCAAAACCCCAAAACCCCAAAACCCCAAAACCCCAATGCTGAATATAGATATTGAAGAATGAAACTAGAGTTAAAATTTTAAAACGAAGCATGATTTAAAATGCCACGTCACTGATTGTATTTTAGTACCTTCCATTAATCATTTCCCTAAGAACCCGAATTCAAGTCTATATTGTTAGGGTATAATGTTACTCCAATGGCGCATCGTCAACTATAGACTGGAGGCATCTGGGGTCTGATGCGCCTTCTGGCTCTCCTCTGTCTATTTCTTATCGGTGGCATTGGCCTAGGTTCTAGAATCAATAAAGGTAACACCTTCTACTTGGAGTTTGTAATAGTAGACATAAAAAGTGATCGATATCTGTCCTTTTAGACGAATCTGGGAAATAGCTTACGCTCTATTGAATCAACCTGCTGAGACTCTTGTTCAGCTAAGCCTGATGTTTCTGTGATTGAGGTATAAATCTGATTATATCTGTCAAGCATTCTTGAGATGGAGTCATCTCAGTTGAAGCAGAGGTCTATGTCAGGCCTATATACAAGGTAACTCTGATCTAATCAAATTTAAGAGCTTTATAAAGTAATATCTTTTCAGATTTTCTGCTGAAGTCTCTCTATTTTTTAATATTTTCTCATCAAATTTTGAAGATACTTTACAAAATTAGGTGAACTAGGGGACATTTAGTTTAAATCAAGAGACATCCCGCTATTTCAGCATTAAAGAATGAAGTTCAGGACTTGAGACATCAAGGAGTTGGACCAAATAAAAACCAATAATATCCCTCTAAAATGTAGGCTTAACTAAACTTACTCTGGAGTTGTGCAATTGTGAGGCTTATTTTCAATTTCGCCATTATCAACTCTATAAGTAAGTTAAACCAGTCATGATTTTGGCTGATTAGCAACAATGCTATTCTAAAGATCATGAGTTACGTTATTCCAGGTCTCTTTGCATATGTGTCAGCTGCCTTTTTGAATGAGGATGAGTAATAATCCATGTGAATAATTTCTATTATGATTCAACCTTACTCAAATTTAAAGGGGTTTTGGGGTTTTGGGGTTTTGGGGTTTTGGGG